CATAAATAATGTATTAAGAAAATATTCGTACAATCACATTAACCAACATTAAGACTCCTCACACTAAATCGGAAAATTCCTTTCTCCTAAATTTATTTTAAACTATTTTGTGAAATTATGAAAAAATCACAATTTTACAGTCTTTTAGAACATCAAAATAATATCCATGTTTCTCAGAACATCAAAATAATATCCATGTTTCTCAGAACATCAAAATAATATCCAGAACATCAAAATAATATCCATGTTTCTCAGAACATCAAAATAATATCCATGTTTCTCAGAACATCAAAATAATATCCTTTTTCTTTAAAATAAAAACTTTTCTCTCTTTAAATATGTGTATTTACATTTTTCATATGCAATCATAAAAGTTTAAATATCTTCAAATAAAAGAAAAAAAAAAGTTTTTAATATTGTATAATTTACATGGTACATAAAAACATGATTAAGTACAGTTATACATAGTTTTTGCTATGGAATTTTCAAGTTGAACATATTTCGAACAAAATTGCTAGCTCAATCTTTGCTTTGTCTCAAATTAAGAATATCATATTATTGAACATACATCTACTTGTTTATAACTCTCTTGTAAGGCCTCATATTGACATGAATATGGAATTGTTACATAGGGAGGGGTTAGAAACTCTAAACTTCAAAAATTCAGATCCTTGAAAAAAAAAGGTTTGTCAATATTTTTCTTGAGAATTAGGAGAGGTTTGAATGCAAAAAAAATAAAAGTTGTTTATCATGGGAGTAGATTAAAAAAATGAAATTTTTCTCCATCATCCTCTACACCCTACACCTTAATTTATCTCTTCGCTATTGCACCAGATCTTACCCAGCCACAGATATCTGACAATCTCCTACCTTCCAATCAACTCCTTAACCCATCCACAGATATCTGACAATCTCCTACCTTCCAATCAACTCCTTAACCCCTCCACAGATATCTGACAATCTCCTACCTTCCAATCAACTCCTTAACCCCTCCACAGATATCTGACAATCTCCTACCTTCCAATCAACTCCTTAACCCAGCTGACAATCTCCTACCTTCCAATCAACTCCTTACCCAGCCACAGATATCTGACAATCTCCTACCTTCCAATCAACTCCTTACCCAGCCACAGATAACCTGACAATCTCCTATCTTCCAATCAACTCCTTAACCATCCCAAAATCTATGTGAATTTGATTTTGATTGTGATTAATTTCATTATCGTTGACTAACTTAGTGCCAACCAGTCATACAACCTACACTGGTTAGGCGGGTCCAAACTGCAAAGTAAATTGTGATTGCTTATTTGTAATATCTCATGCTTTGTAGTTAAATAAAAATATGAAGGAATGAATATTGACGACGAACGTAAAAGTACACAAAGAAAATTCTATTCTTACTTTAACTACAGGGTGTCCCAATAAAGATGGGAATTCAGTGACGAATTCTATAACGTCTTTGTTATGAATTAGCATTGTAATACCTGATTTCAAAAGACATAATATTATTATGTCTGCTAGAGTTTAATTTATGAAAATGGTGAATGGCTGTAAAAATGTGTCTATAATGTCTTTGCAAGATTAACAGTGAAGACGGACAAGTTTATTCTCGTTATGTACCGTAATTTTTTGATTTACTTGGTACAACCGTATGCAGTCAAAACATAAACAAACCAATTGTAAATATAGCAGACGAAAATCTTTCGGATTTCAGCTCTCTCAGTAGGTATCACAATACTAAATCAAAGAATTATTTGAAAAGACGATATCGAATTTGTCATTGAATTCCCATGTTTATTGGGACACCCTGTATTTATATTTAGCATAGAACTATTTATCTAATGGGCACACATGACGTACACCTAGTATTGTATTTATTAAGTTGTTAATATATTCTGTTTACCTTCTTTCTATAATAAATAAGCTAGTGTTAGCTTAATCAAATATCAATTTGTCTTGTCTGTTTGCTGGTTGCTGGGTTGCTTTGTGTCCAATAAACGCCGAAACGCCTGAACCGAATGTGTCGGCAAGTTGTGACGGATTGAAGTAAAAAAGTCTTTGCTTAAAAAAATCCAATTTTTGGAAATCTACCAAAGAAAATAGAAAAATCCGGGAAATTACGTTACTTCTCTTTTAAATTTTTATGAATATAAACAACTAAACAATTAATACAAGGAAGAGGGGCACGAAGCTCCCTGAACGCCCAGATATACCAGAATACCTCATTTAGTTTTTAATTAATTGGAAAAAGCGTTTATAAAAGTTTTTAAGAAAAGTATTATTCTAGCAGGTGAAGCTCCTCCCTCCCTCCTAATTTAAACTATGAGTAAGGTCCAATATTGCATGAAAATGTATCCGTGACGGGTCCAGATGGTATGTATAGAAGGTAAAGAAGGTAGACCTGGATTAAACCATAAAATAATCAGACCTCAGGTTCTTAACTGATCCTTCCGGATTATTTCTTTACACTAAATCATCAAGAGAGAGTTTTATAGTTTTTATTATTTTTAAGATACAAAACCTTTTTATGGGTATCATTGTAAATCATGCGATGCCATCATTGCACGGAGGGTCACATGAAATTACGCTCAGTCCCTTTAATTCTGTCTGTATTTAGGTGGTTGAAGCTACGTGTCAGTGTTTATTAGCTCAAGCTGAAGAGGGGGAGAAGAAAGATTTAGATCCGGTACAGATAGAGAAGCAGGTATACTTATGTGCAATGTACATTGTAATTGAAATTTATGAACAGAACTTGAACCAAATATGACGATCCCAAGTTTAAATTAAGCTGTATTCCTTGAATGTGGGTTTTGAATGGTTTATTTAATGATTTGGCAAAAAAATCATGATTATAAAGAAACAGCCAGAATAAATTCCACACAGTCGTCTCTGAAGTCTCATTCTGTGCGTCGTACATAAATTGACACCTATAAAAGATGAGACTGTGTTTTCTTGTTTATATAGATGTGCAGACTTAATATTAATTTTTTGAAACAAAATAAACAATTTTTTTTGATAATTTACCATATAAACTTGGGATCGTCATATTTGGTTCAAGTTCTGTTCATAAATTTCAATGTACAATGTACATTGTACATAAGTATACCTGCTTCTCTATCTGTACCGGATCTAAATCTTTCTTTTCCCCCTCTTAAGTTTTAGTAATCAGAGTCTAAAACTAAAGAACGAAAAGTTTTGACTAAATTTTAAGTTCATGGTTAAATGCCACTTCTGACTTAATTTAAACCAGAACTTTAACCGTGAGGTTAAATATTTAACCCTGTGATTAAATATTTAACTCGCCGAAATCGACGAGTTAAAATTTAAACAGAGGTTTAAATTATCTTGAAATCCTGCATTTTCCCTATTTGTCTATTATTCAATCATCATTCAGCTGCAGCTGAGAAAGCGGCATTCAGCTTAACGATATATTTAAAAGTGAAAACCTTGTTAAAGAAATTTCACGTTTTAGATAAACAGCTGATTAGCGATGGTTATGTAATACTCTCCGTAAATCCTTTTCTCTGATTGGTTCAGATTTTCCCGGGAAATTCAAATTTAAAATTGAGAAAGTTAAATATTTAATTAGCTATTCATTATTTTACAGAACTTTTAACCTCGAACTTAAAATTCGCGCATTCTTTAGTTTTAGACTCTGTAGTTTTAAGTCTTTCGAAGTTCAAAGATTGTTCTAGATCTTTTAATGATGGTTTTATTAAATTTAAATTGAGAGTCTTCAAAACAAAAAGATATTTTATCTAAATAAAAAATTGACGTAAATTATACATTAACCTTAGTATTTATAAGAACGCAAGTTTTCTTCTTTTTCGTGCCCATTTTCTATTTTAACTTTTAGCTGAAGCACTATCTTTGAGCATCTTCTCTTTGTACAATTTAAAAAATAACAAGAAAAGTTGCGGATTTAATTATATTTTTTCGCGGACTTTCAAAGTTTTTCAAAAACCACAAAATTTTGGATACATATTTTTATAATTTTGAGCATAAAAAACTTCCCTTGGGTCACATGAGTTGCCTCACAATTTTGGGCTCGATCGGTTCAGCCGTTTTTACGTTTATTGGATATAATCAGACACCCAGGCAGACAAGCAAAGTATATAGATATAGATGATGACTTTTACAAACATTATCGATCATTATGCATGGTCTGCACAGCTTGCAAAACGTCTTTACGTCAGTTGTATTCCTCATTTCAGAAATTTGGGTTTTATGCGTTAAACAATACTTTTTATAAATTGAAACTGCGTCGATTATTCTAATCCAAAGACAGGGGCATGTGTGAGCAGTATAATTGGCTTGGTTTTGTTTTTACTATTCAAATTATAAAGTTGCACCTCATTCTTTGCAAATATTCGCTGAATTCAGATTACAAAATCATTTTTATAAATATTACCAATATTTCTAATGTTTTGATGAGTTGTCGGTCGTGCTCTAACTCATTGCATTTTCACTTTTCAAAATATTGTTTTCAAATTTAAATTTATAATTTTTCCACAAAAATTGAAAAATAGGTTGAATTATGTAATTTTAAGAACACAATTTGTTTGGCTGATGTAGCAATTTCTACTATATTAAATCGTCTAATCAGAATTATTTCAAAAATCAATTATCACTTTATCACATGCTGATTAGGGTCATATTTTTATCGACGATTTCATACAAAGAGCTAAAATTCAATCGAAATCATACAAAAGGGTCTTATGATACTCTTTTTCTTTTTTGAATGCCTTTCTTTTTATTCAGGACAAAATTAAATTTTAAAAATAAAATATTTTAAAAATACTTTTGAGCTTCCAATGATTTTTAATGTGTTAAAGCTAAAATTAATTAACATATTGCTAAAGGAAAAAAGTGAAAATTATGAAACTTTTCAAATTATGTAAGAATCGACAATCGACACTTTGCCAGGAAACCCGGCTAATATTATTAATCCTCGTTGTTTAAACATTCGCTATTGGAAAACAGTCTTATTAGTCCTTATTCCCTTGCTTCAACAATAGTCATCTAGAGCTCAGCAGAGCCTAATCATTAAGTTTAATTATGGTTAAATATAACTCCTTGGCTTCAGCTACCTCAGCTCATGGGTTTGATAGGCTGGAAGGGAGTAGGACTAAGATGGAGAAGATGTTTTGGTTCATCATTATTTTTGGTTTATGGATATTTTTCTTCCAATTGGCATTTTTAAATCTCCAAGTAAGTCTAATCCTAAGTCTAAGTCTAAAAGAATTAAGTCTTTGTCACAAACTCTGATTTTCAAATCACTATATCTTTGGAACCAAATGTTGTAGACCTTAGATATTTCAAACTATGAATTCTGTTATATCAAATATTCTGAATTTGAAATATCAAAGGCTTGCAACATCAGGTTCCAAAGATATAAGTTTGACTTATTTCAGAATTACTATTCGGATCCAGGTCACACCTCTGTGACTAGCACAACTCCTTTCCCTGCTTCCCAAGGGAAAATTCCTGATTTGGCGTTCTGTGATTCATCTCCATGGGATTTCGAGAAAGCAGAGAAAGCAGGGATATCAGGAAATATGGTTTCATATATATCACATCAACTTTATCCGTTTGGTTTGGGAGAATTTAAGAATAACAATTTCACATTACAACGAGAGTATGAAGAAGATTATCAGAAGTTACTTCTCCGGTATAACGGTACAATAGGGGTACTGGATGCTGTTACACGAGACTGTGCGTCCTATCTCATATACTGTAATCTACCGGGAATGCCGGACGTGAGATCAACCTTGTGTTGCTCAATGTACTTCAACGAACCAATCTATAGAAGAGAGAAAAAGTGTTTTTCAACTGTTGGAAAGCTAAACCAGAGCCAAGCAGTTGTTAATGAATTGGAAAGTATTGAAAGTATGACGGTGGCGATCAAATCGAGTGTAATAAACTCAGGTTATCTTAATAGAAATTTTACCAATAGTATTGCAATGTTCTCAAGTTCTTTTCACGTAGCAATTGTTGATGAGAAGATGGATTTGCAGGTCTTAAAGTCGAGTGATTTCAGACCTCTGACTTGGAAATCCACAAATCTGATCTCAGTCCGACTAAACCTACTTGATCAAACAAATGTTGCTCGTGTTATAGATGGTGTAAAATGCAGTCCTGATCCAGGGTATAGTAAACACCAGTGCATGAAACATGCAATGCAGAAGGAAACAGGTTCTCAATTCAATTGTTCTTCAGTTACTTTCGGAGCTCCAACCCCTGGAACAAAATTTTGTACTCCTGCAATCAATGCTTTGATCATGTCGGTCGAAAATAAGAAAAAGGGTGAAATTTTTTACCAAGGAGAAGCATGTTTGGATCAATGCAAGCTAAATTATTACTCTTTCGAAGTTCGTCCTGAAAACATACGCTCTGGGATATTTAGTCAGTATAGAATGGATGAAAGTAAATATGAATTCATGATGCTCCGGGTCTTCTACGAAGCTTCTCAGGTTCATTTGACAATCTACACTGGGAAGAGTCTGCAGGATGTTATCTCCGGGATTGGAGGAACACTGGGTCTTTGTATTGGTGGATCACTAATCACTATTGTGGAACTTGGTATCTATTTCCTTCAATGCAGACGATTTTTCTTTAAATAATTGTTATGAAAAGTTCTGAACAATGATATTTTAATATTTAATTATCATTTTGGATTTAAAGCATATTTTTCTTTCATATGTACAGCTTTTTATCTTAAAATTTAATACAATAAAGCTTTGAATTTTACGAAAACGTGTTCAACAATATATTATTTAACTATTTTTTAAACGCACATACTATCGCGACCTTGGAAGTTTCGCAATAAAACCGTTTCCCGCGGTTTTTTAAATGTTTGAAATCAACAGGTTGCATGAAATAAATACACGAATTTCAGTTAAACTCCCCCTCTTCGCCTCCCCTCCTTCTTCCCCCTTACCCACCTGTCCTGTTTCCTTCCTTCCTTAATTCGATAGCAGGGAGGGGGCATCTCGGTTTCAGGTGGAACCATGAACCACTGGTCCTACAACCCCCCCCCCCCCNGTTACTCCCTTTTCCTTTCCCCCCTTCGACCGTTTTTCCTGCCCCTCCTCCCCCTGGTTATCAATCATCTGTGGAGACTGATTAATGTGTAGAACCTCAAGAAATTATGATATCAATCCGACCAACTGAAAATCAGACAAATCGGATACTATGAGAATATTTATCTAAACCCATCAGCTCAAGGGAGAGCAACTAAAGTTTCAGGTTAAAAACACAGAAATACAGAAGAGAAAAGCTGGCATGGACAAAAATAAAGATTCTGAGGAAAAACTTGTGTTCAATTTGTTTAATTCTTTTATTAATTTTCTTCATTATATCAAAAAGTCATTTTTCGCGAGAGTCTTTAATTTTCTCCTCCCTTAACTTCTAGCTTTGTGGATTTTGGGAATTAAACAACCTTTCCTTTACCTATAAAGATAGACTATTCTAAAAGATCGATAGTTTCTTGGTTTTCATGATAGATATTGTTAGAAGATTGTTATCAGTTTATTCCTCAAACAGTCTTATATAAACCTTCCTCAGTCACCAGTGCATTGTTTATCTATTGAGTAAAATTGAAAATAATTAAATACTTTTCTTAAGTTATAAAATATTTATAATAGTAGAAGTGGAAATTTTTTAGATTTAGATTTTTTCTTTGAGACAAAAATAACTTTTAAACAAAAACTTTCGATATTGTTGGATAGCTTAATCCACAAGCGTTGAATATATTAAAGAGAGTTTTGATTTTTGAAAAAATTCTGAGAACTGAAAAGTTTAATTTATCCTCAGTTCGCGCATCACAGGTTCAGAATTGAGAGAGAAAATATATTTCCGTATCTAACAAGTTATATTAAGCAATTCAATATATTTATATATTGGTAGGCAGCTGGAAATAGTTAAGCTTAAGCAAAGAATCTAACCGAAACTTTCCACCTGCCCCCCCCCCCCCCCCCCAGTTCAATAGCACACCCTTCCTGAGAACCTGCATAAAGGCGCAACAAATATTAATGATTTTCTTTAGAATAAAATTTTATTCCAGTTTTATAATTAATCTTGTAATATTTAGTTCAAGCACTTTTAAACATAATGTCAGCTATATTCGGAACCATTAACTCTGGGAATACAGATATACTGTACAAGATAGATTGGGGTTTGGATAAAAAGTCTTTCTCTATTGTTGTAGAGCCTTGTATCCTGATATAGAACCTGGATCCTGTATCTTGATATAGTAAGTAGTCCTGATACATATCCTACAACTTGTATTCTGATAAAGAACCTAGAACCTACATCCTGATATAGAACCTATAGTAAAGAACCTGGAGCATGTCCACCGATAAAGAACCTGGAATTTATTTCCTGATATAGAACCTGGAACCTGTAAGGAACACAGAGTCTGTAAATTGTGGAACCTGTAACATTATTACAGGAATATTCTCTAATCATTACATTTTATCTAATCCGAATCTGAATCCTTATCTATATCCTGGGAAAATACTGACGGATGGATCAACAAGTTGATCGTTGCATGACAACCTCAACCCGGAGCCAACTCGAACTCTAAAAGTGCAAGGAAGCATGAATATCCGGGTACAGGGTATATCACGCTTACCAACAACCCACTTAATTAATTTTACTAAATATTTCTACAAAGTGCTAAACCCTTTTTTATTGTATCATGTAAGCTGCATGCATCCATGTATCCTGTAAACTGCTTCTAATCAACTGCTCCTTGTATCCACTAAGCTGCTTCTAATCAACTGCTCCATGTATCCAGTAAGCTACTTCTATTCAACTGCTTCATGTATCCAGTAAGCTGCTTGTAATCAACCGCTCCATGTATCCAGTAAGCTGCTTCTAATCAACTGCTCCATGTATCCAGTAAGCTGCTTGTAATCAACTGCTCCATGTATCCAGTAAGCTGCTTCTAATCAACTGCTCCA